AAGAGACACACTCCCCGGCACCCAACAACAAACCCTGCTTCTTCAAACTCTTACGAGATTTGCAGCGTGACAACCGTCCTCCCACACTCCTTCTGCGAGCATCTGGCCTTGTGGCATAGTTTGAAGCCCCAAACCCTAGGCAACCCAAATCTAGCGGCCCCCCGAACCTTTTACACACGAACCCTCGTGTTTACAGCCCAGCCCCGCGCCCCGAAAGCTCCATCGAAAGCTCTTCAAACTCCACTCTGCCCCCGCCCCCCCCAGCACGGAGGCCTCAGCCTGGGCAGAAGATCTAGGACCTGCTGTTGGGTTGAGGATTTTGTGTAGGGCTTATAAGGTTTGAGATATGTAGGGTTCGGGATTTAGGAAATGGAAGCCTAGAATTTCGGATATTCGTTTTTTGGATGATTGTAGTGTGCAGGATGTAGTGTTTCGTTTCAAGGTATACAGCTTCAGGGGCCTTTAGGTTTTCGCACCAAGGCTGTAGCGTTTCAGGGTTCAGGATTGGGTGCTTCGCGGGTCCGTGGGAAGATGCCTCCATACGTTTTACACCTCGGCTGTATAAGGGGTGCCTACCCTCATCTGTCTAATGTGGAAACAATTCCGTCCTTCTCCTTCCCCCGGAGCTTTTCAAACCCGCTCGATTCCATCAACGAAACCTGCGAATGTGGTGTTCATGGTGTTGGTGATCAGGATTTTAGTGTTCAGCTGCACATGGAGTCGCTTTCGGAGTTTAGGCAGTGTAAATTGGAGTTTTGGCGCATATAATTAGGCCTCGTGGTCAGGATGTGGGTGGGCTTCCTCTTGGCACCTTCACTTTCATTGCACGGTATCCCGTTTTTGCACTGTCTCCTGGATCAAACTCAGCTGGCAACCACAAACCATAAACCCCTCGCATCCTGACGTCCCCCAGAAGCCGATGTCGATAAACGCTAAGCGCTATATACACTGAACAGCTACCAACCTCAAGCAAACAGCTTTAAGCACCGCACGGCTCACGGCCGGCACTCTTTGAAGGCACCCAGCAGTGTGGGAACTTCCTAAAACAACGTTTGTCAAAGAACTGTACTTCCGAAAAGCAAACTTGCCCCGACAACCTCAACTTTACACCCTCGACACCAAGCCGTACACACCCACAGATCAGCATCCGACCTTCGGCGCAGCTGTGCGAGCAGGTAGTCCGAGCGCGGCATACTCGCGCCGCAGCTCCTGCAACTGCGAAGCGTTCGGCCCGTTCTATCGCTGAGGAAAGAAGTTTTACAGCGTACCGGGATGGCTTCACAGTTCTGTAGGGGTTTCGAAGGTTGCAGCATGCTTGGGTCAGCGCATCTCCAGGCATTAAAAACACCTCCCCGAGATGGGGCCGCAGTGACTCCGAAGATACCTGGGGCTGGGATTCCGGTTCAAGTCAGGTGCAAGCGTCGTTTTTAAGTCAAAGGGATGAAGGGCGACAGAGCGCCGCCGGATGTCCACTTATAGGGCCTGCCAAGCTTAAAAGCCGCTGATCGCCGAGGCGCGGCTTCGTCAGCAGGTAGTTCAGGCTGGGTCAAGCCAAAAGGCTATCAGATTTTACTTGTATGTCAAGTTGTTATTCTAACGGTGCTGACGATGTCATAATCGTCGATGCCACGCCATACTCATACCCGACGCATCAATGTGCACCTTCTGTGCGTAGCCGCACTCAGGGGCACTTCTGCAATCTCGGCATGACTATTCCTAGATGCCTGCCCCGATGGGAATCTTCGTGCCCGTCGTCGGTGTCGCTGGTACTTCTGCTTGTACTCACAAACAAGGGTAACCACCTCAAGTTCGAGGGACAAAGACATTTACAGCAAATTTCACGGCATGAAGCATGCACAGTTACGTATGTAGGTATGCATCTAACGCACAGATGTGTACACGCACATAAAGCATACATCATGTATACAAACACATGTTACAAGTGTTTTTACAACTCTAATATTATAGCGGCACAGATGCACTTGTGTTTCATCGGTTTGCGAAATTTCTGGAACAAGGGCGTGCGCTGCGGGGACACTGTAGCTCAGGTTTCGCGGGCTGTAGATCGAATCTTGCCCCGGCCATCAAAACCTGCGATCATCGGTACTTCAGGGGGCATCCCTCCGTGCATGCAGGACCTGTACCACGGCACTAGGTCATCAATTACACCCTCCACACAACAACCTTAACCACAAATCCCAACAGGTTCACTATAAGGCTTCAGCCCGTCCAAGACCAGCTTCCGAGCTATGGGCAGACTGTCCGCACTGAAGGGATGCCCCGCTGCCCGAAGTGGAGAACACGGTGGAAAATCGATTCTACAGGCCTCATCTAAAGTGCTGCCGTCTTCAAACTGAAGGTCTTTGCCGTCTGCCTTCGTTTGTTTTGGGTGTTGACTGCTAAGTAGTTCATAAGGGTTCACGGCTGAGGCGTGACATAGTCACAGAACACCTACAAACACTTATCAGACACACAGGCTCACCAAGGCCACGAAGGAATCTGCAGAATCCCAAGACCTCATCGCTGCATGGCCAGGATATAGGGTATACACGGGCTTGGCTTCAATGGTTCAGGGCAATCAGCTCTCACGTGAGGACTGCTCTTTCAGATAGCAAATTCGTGCAAACTCCCTGCTGAAGGCACGGTTGAACCCAGCTATCTAGGCCGTGCAGCACAGAAACATTTGCGGAGAACAGAGAGAAACAGAAAACCACAGAGACAGAAGGAGAGTCTGTGCGCGCATGCCGCGCAAAGGCAGACTGAGACTGCGATGGAGACAGGGGGCGAGAGAAAAAAGAGGCAAAGGGACGGAGCACTGGCGAGCGGAAGGTGGGGAGAGAGTGAGATGAAGCTGCGACAAGCAAGAGTGAGGAGATGACGCACTGCATTCCAAAGCTTGAATCAGTTGCACGGCTGCGCGAAAAAAATACATTTGTGTTTAGTTGCCCGCAGAACATTTTGATGCAATCTGTATCATGTTGTAAACATTCAACCATACCCTGCTGCAACATGAAAGACTTGCCCATATCCGTATGCCATGCTTTCAGCAGAGTGTCGCCAGAACCGAAACAGGGAAAGCGAAACTTGTCAGGCCCTCAGAGCATCGAGGGAACTGCGACGAAGTCCTGCCGAAATCCTGGTTTCGGGTTTAGGGTCAGGGGTAATTATGGGTTTAGAGTTTAGGATGGGGATATGGGTTTCGGAACTGAAACCTTCATGCAGACCGCAGGTTGCAAGGCGAGACACTTGGGCTTTCAACTTGCTTTAGCACTTTGCGGCCCGAGATGCAAGCAAGACCATAGCGAGGCTTTAAGATGCTCCAGGTATGGGGACATCTGCACTACAGTGATGTACTACAGTGCTTCCCATCTGGAGGAACATGACACCCGACAGCATCATGAACCTACAGGCTTTCAGGAGAGTAGTTTGCTTCCAACGGAAGTTGAGCTACCTGCGACATGGTCGTCGACTCCCAGAGACCACGTGTGGCACTTCAGCCCCCTCTGCAGATAATTGCTCATTTCTAACATCTCTGCGTGCGCACGACCTTGTTTGTAGAACCGTTATTTCGATGGATATTTCCACTGGACTCTATTTTCGCGATAGTGGCAGGCGTACCCAGACTTACCAAGTGGCATGTCTAGGATTCAACGCCACTTGAGTCACAATCTGTCATACCAGCTGTACTAGCATTAGTTATGTCAATGGTCATACAACGTTTGAATAATCGTATCATGACTATGTCCCAAGTAGCATCAAATACCAACAAATCACAGCAGCACTGATTTCACCCATCATGTCAGTGATAAGATCCATGCACAATGTGTGCAGCACATCAGAAGCCATACCAGCAGCAAGATGTTGTACGAGCCTTTTGTGTCAATTCCGGTCTTGGAACGTCTTGGATACGCTTCCCCACTTCCCCCCTAGACCTTGAACCCCAACCCTAAACCCTAAACCTAAAGCCTGGCCCCGAAACCCAGCCCCTAACATCCAAAGAGCCCAGGCCTCTTAAGCCATGTGCATGCCGCCGTTGACGTGCAGGGTGTGGCCGGTAATCTAGCAGAAGTGCTGGGTTCAGGGATACTCAAGGTCTCGGTTTTAGGGTTTAGGATGTGGGGCTTTTTAACTCAAGTTTTAGCTGTGAGGTTGAAGTGTTTGTGGCGCGAGGATTTGCCTGGGCATTTCCGATAAAACGGCGATGGCAAGCCTTCCTGAGCATGCTTATGCTCCAAGACCATGTTCTTTGGCTGTTGCTTGGGGACGCTTCGCATCTATACCAGTCTAACTTAAAGTTGACAAGGGCCCTCGCCCAGTGCCCCAAACAACATCTTTGCTTGTCACCTGCAACAGATGTCCGACGGGCCTTGAATCACCATTCTATACAATAGGCGCTAAACCCTTAACCCCTAACCCCGAAACTAAACCCTACTAAACCCCAACCCGAACATCAAGGCCCAAACATAGCCAGCAGCCGGAGAAGCCAAGAAAAGCACCTCTTGATGCGAGGAGTAAATGACGGGTCGAGGAGCTTCGGAATCTTTGTAGGGGTTCAAAGCTTAGGGTTTTGGGGGCTGCAGTTTCGGGTTTAGGATGGCTGTGGTTCATTGCAAGTTGGGGGGATTAGGGTTGGAAGGCTTGGCCACTCCTCGATTTGGCTGCGATGTCAGAACCTAGGGTTTAGCATGGTTTAGCCTAGCTGGCGGCTCTTCGGAATCGGCACCCTTGCTGAAGTCTGCGCCATCGCAAGCTCGTATAAAGCGACAGGGACAACTCCGGAAACACACACAAAAGTGAGATGCTCCAGAGAGCAGTCCACTACCTGACGGCTCAGGTACGTCTTAAGTTCAGGGTTTGGGACACAAGCTCTGCAGCTGTGGGCCAAAGGCTCTGGTTGCTAGGCTATTGGGGAGAAGCTCCTCTAGACAACAACGAACAAACCGACACTATCACGCAAGTGCAACTTGATGGTGCCATCAGCTGAATCCTTGCCCGGCGGCCGCATCTGCGATCTCACCCGGGTCCCCCAAGCGCTTCACCTCATCGAACCAATGCTGAACCAAGGTCTAGTCTAATGTCAAACCAGAACGGCTATGATAGGCTTGCAGCACAAGCCGTACTACAATTGATAGGTGGATGGACGGATAGTAGGCCACTCTCCCTCCTGCAGCTGAAGCCTGGTTCTAACGATACTTCGCTGTGGGCATCTGTAGATCTCGGGGCTCGAAGTCTCGGTTTCGTATGCTTCGGGAGAGCCGAGTAGATGCCTTCCGGGGCTCGAGGTCTGCAAAGAGGTGAAGTGGAGAAATCCCCAATAATAGGGTTTAGGGTTTAGGGTTTAGGGTTTAGGGAATACTGGAACAAAGCCTCCATATTTGACAAAGATGACCTGTTTTTTTCGTTTGGCAGTAGTGCACTGAGCTCCGGACGGGCACGTTCTCCAGCAACTTCTCCTGGCAGATATGAACTTATGTTTGGAGTTGGCTGTCACCCATGAACGGGGTGTGAAGCCCCAACCGAAGACTCGTGACACTAAAACACTTGCATAGATTTCGCAAAATGCTCGAAGATGCAAATGACAACTGTGAGTGTTGATGCGCCCACTTGCTTGGCCTCTCGGGCACCCCTAAACCCTAAACCCTAAACATGCACCATAAACCTTTAAATGTCTGCATGGTAATCTCGGAGCCTGGACCTCAAAACAACACTCCACAGCAATTGAAATCCTAAGCACTATCTAAGGGCTCCCTCGTTTGTAAATGAACAAAGCAACAAAAACGTGAAGATAAATGAAACTGCACATGTAAAATGATAAACACACACTCTATCATCTATATATATATATATGTATGTATGTATGTATGTATGTATGTATGTATGTATGTATGTATGTATATGTATTTATACACACATACACATACACGCATACATACATACATACATACACATACATACATGCATGCATACATACATACATTGACATACATACATACATACATACATACATACATACATACATACATACATACATTGACATACATGCATGCATGCATACATGCATCCATACATGCGTACATACATACGTGTATCAGAGCTTTGCCGGCCTATCGTTCTCGGATGTAGCAGTCCACAAAGAGTGCAGGGTCACGGAAGACGAAAGGCACAGAAACGCTTGTGAGTTCTCGACTGGGAACGGTATCACCCTACATGGCTTCGTAAACACCTAAGGGCTAAAGTGAAGGCTTAGTCGGGCATTTACCGGCGAGGAAGCGGCAGAATCCTGCAAAGAAGGCTCTGATACAAAGAACCCTTTCCGCCCCGGGAACCTGAAGCCGCGATGAAATTCTTTATGTGTGCTCAGATTGTACATGCATGTATGAATCTGTATGTATACATATATACACATACGCATACACATACATACATACATACATACATACATACATACATACATACATACATACATACATGCATACATGCGTACATACATACATACTTGCATACCCACATACATACACACATACATACATACATACATGCAGGCAGGCAGACAGACAGACAGACAGACAGACAGACAGACATACATACACACATACATACAGACACACACAGACAGACAAACATTACATATACATACATGCATTTCCACATACACATGTATGTACATAGAGTGATTCGAAAGAGAGGGAGGGAGAGAGAGAGAGAGAGAGAGAGAGAGCTAGATATAGAGTTTGTAGAATGCATCACCCAGATCTCTCTCGGAGGCTTGGGCAGCGGGCTCAACAAGGAGGTCCTATATAAGCCTCTTGCAAAGCCCTTTCTGCGTCCTACTTACATCCTACTTACTATCTAAACCCTAAACCTTGCTTGAGTCTTCCCTGCTCCCAAGCCAACGGTCGGGCTCCTTCCACTCTGCAGGCAGGTCGGCAGTCATGTCCTCAGGGTTTAGGGTTTAGGGTCTTAAGTTTATGGGGGTTTGGTCTTGGGGGTTAAGGGTTCACGGGCGTGGGGGTTCAGGGGCTTGGGCTTTCAGGTGAGGTTTAGGGGTTCAGGCTTGGGTGATTCCGGGTTTAGTGTTTCAGGTTTTTAGGGATGATTCGGTGCTTTAGGGTTTAAGGTCTAAAGGTTGTAGGATCTAGTTTGGGAGTTTAGGACCCCAAACTTAAACCCTACCTGAATACCGTAAAGCACCATAATCTACTACCTGCGGGGCACCTGAAGAGAACACAGTCTGGGGCCTACACATTATGGCAGTTTCGACCCCTGATTAGCATGGGGCCTGGCTTGCAGGCCGGAGTTCGAGGTAAACGCATGAAGGCTTCAGCGGTTTGTGCCCAAGGGTTACTTTAAGGGTTCTTTTGTTAGGGTAATGTAGGGGCCTTAATACTTAGAACAGGGTTTTGGGGCCCATTATACTCCAATTATACTAGGGAGCCCCCCCCAAAATTAAACATAGGTAAGCATTGAGGCCCCTATATAAGGCTTCCTCTAAAGGCTTTAACTGTGAGGGGGTTGAACTTCACGGAAACCGACGTTGCCTTCAACTTCGAGATCTTGAAAGTCACGACTTGAAGACTCGCGAGGTGCTATGTGCAAGTGGCATAGATACACAAACCGATAGACAAATAGACAGATAAATAAATAGATAGATAGTATGATAAAAACTAACCATATACAGAGTTACTTGAACAACAACTGATTCAGGAGCTCATAGGAATCATACTTCTACCGTGCATGAGCCTTCCAGTAAGGTCTGAGGCATCTCGGAGGCTCTCTCGTTGTAAGGACACGGCGGTATCAATGAATCCTGGGGCCACGGAGTTCACTGTGATCCTGGGCCCGGACATGAGATGTTTGAGCATGTCTTCGGGAACCCGCAGGCTTATGGGCTTCAGGGTATAGTTTTCCGGCTTTGGCTTGCGATGTGTGGTTTGCAAGCTTGCGGTGAAGGGCTTCGGGTTCCTGAGCCCCAAGGAGTTTTGGGTCGGGGGCCTGGCGATTCTGGAAAGCCAAGCCCGACTTGCGGACAGCTGCTGTTGGTCCCAAAACCAGGGTTTGGGGGTATGTTATACTATAATTATAGCAAGGAGCCCCCCAAAACCCTGCTTCCTAAAATCCTGACGGCCTGAGCACGGCGGCCTCAAGCCCTCAGGCATCAAGAAGCACTCACAGCGACGGCAGGCCTAATCGGACTGAAAACCCGACGTCCTAAAAGCGACTTACAACGGGGCGAACCTGTACAACTGCCCGGCGAACCCTACAAAACCCCATCATAACGAGGTATACCGAAGCATCTCTGCAACACCCTATCAAGCACTGAAGTGATATAGTTCATGAAGCCGAACGGATCACGCAAAAGACCACACCAACCCTCATGAAACCAACCCGAAATCCAAGGTCTTGAATCCTTAACCCTCGAAATCTTGAAAGTGTAGCCCAAGACCCCAAACCCAATACACTAACCTCAACACCCTGACAACCCAAAACACTAACCCGACAATCCCAAACCGCTATAACCCACACGAGAGGACAATACAAACAACACTCTTCAGCCCATACTAAAGTCCAAAACCCTGAAACCCTAACCTCAAAACCCCCTCCACCCTGAAAGCCAGAACCCCAAAATCCCAACCCCTCTACACAAAATCAAACTCCACAGCCCCCAAACCACCAAACACCCCCCCCCAGAAACCCTAAACCCTAAACCCTGACCCCAAAAAACCTCTGGCCCAAGGGGCCCTCGGCTGCCAATCTCCCGGGCCATGGCTCTGGTCCAGCCGTCCATGCCCGCCTCGGAGAGTCGATCGGTCTGCGCCCTAATAGGGCAACCAGGGTTTAGGGTAGCTAGGGATTAGGGTAACTCGGGTTCAGGGTAGCTGGGGATTGGGGTAATTAGGGTAACTAGGGTTTAGGGGACTCTTCCCATCTCTCCACATTGGGGCCGCTTGTTAAGTCCCCAAAGTATGGCACCCTGATAAAGAAAAGTTTTGACCTTGCCGGCCTATCGTTCTCGGATGTAGCAGTCAACAAAGAGTGCAGGGTCACGGAAGACGAAAGGCACAGAAACGCTTGTGAGTTGTCGACTTGGAACGGTATCACCCTACATGGCTTCGTAAACCGGCGAGCAAGCGGCAGAATCCTGCAAAGCAAGGCTCTGACACAGAGAACCCTTTTCCGCCCCGGGAACCTGAAGCTGCGATGAAGTTCCTTATGTGTGCTCACCTGATACATGCATGTATGAATCTGTATGTGCATCATATATATGTATACGCACATACATGTACATACATACATACATACATACATACATACATACATACATACATACATACATACATACATGTCTCGGTCTGGCTGTCTGTTTCTATACCGAAAGGTCCAAACTCTTCCCACAGCCGACAGCAAACATATGCCAAGCCTTGGCAGCAGCGTAGTTGGACTGACCCACATTGCCCATGGAACCCACGACGGACCTTGCAGGGTCCTAAACTGTGTCGGTTCGCGGCTCTGCGTTGAGAGTTAAGCAGTAACTAAATTTGAAGCCCTCCCCACACCCTAACCTTAAACTAGACCCTAAAGCCCTGAAGCTTGGAATGATTGAACGCTGAAACCCAACACCCCGACAGCCGAACCAGCCTTTATTGAGCCCGTGTACTAGCCCTTACGGTAACGCTACGATCGTACGACACTACAGCCCTAAACCCAGAAGACAGCTTCCGCTGCTCCAGTCGATATCAGGTTGTAGGACTTCAAAGCTTTACAAGGGTGTCATAGGATTCAGAAGGTTTTTTTGGGTTGTGAGGTTTCTTTCTAGGACCTTAGGCACCGTGAGGGTTCCTTTTTTTGCGTTGTGTTCTGGGCTGGGGTTTCGACTCGTACGCTCGGCTAGGGTTTCGACTCGTACACCCGCACCAGGCACAAGTACTCACTTTACAATCTTTACATACCCGGCATCCCAGTCAGTAGAAGTAGAAAAAAGGGAGTTCCACTGCAGCAACAGGCTCCGGACGCTTCGGGAGCTTTTTGCTTCAGGGCCTTTGGGTTAAGGCCTTCGTGTGGACTTGAAGCTCCGGTTCACTGGGTGTCGATTTGAGCAGCCCCCCCCCCCCCCAACATAGGGCTCTATGTAAAGCAAGAAGAAAGGTCTAGATTGCCAAGCGGTACAACGTAGGGCTTTAGCAAGTAATTCATGTTCCAAGGCAGGTGCTTTAGAAGCCTGCATGACTAGCAATACTATTGTTTTTCGCCCCTTGCCAGAGTCAATGTACAATGTACACTTGGGTGGATTCCCGAAACCCGGAGGACGGCGAACCTACAAACGGCAACGGGCGGCACCTTGACAGCTGGGCACCCGCACGAAATGCTAATGATGCGGCCCCATCTCTTCTTTGTCATCCCCTGGCAGATGGCTGAGGGAGCTTCGAGATCTTACAGAAGAGCCATGCACTGAACACAATGTTGAACGCCCGATGACCGCAGCGCAGTTGCAAACAACAGCGGAAAGTGTTGTCGACCCCAAGCTCAAGGCCTTACACTGCAGAGCCCTAAGCCCTAAACATCCCTAAACTATAGAACCCCAAATCGCAAAGCCCTGAATATTATTCTGTAGGTTTGGCACTTCGCCGCTTGTGTTCTTGCATCATCTCGCAGATTCTGGGCTTTTTCAGATACCAGTTTGGCCACAGAGGAGCACTGTTCTCTTATGTGGGACTGCAGGGATGTTGCGTATATGGCTTTAGGATGTAGGGTTGGCAGCGACACTTCGAAGCACAAAGTCCGTGGAGGGCATGCAGCAGACGGACCAGCGGAAGCCGAAACGGCAACTCAAAAGAAACCTGCAAGTAACAGCGGAGAGGCCTCTGCTCGAAATACGGAAGCATCTAGGAGTCCAGGCTTAGGGAATCTATAGGTGTACTATATAGGGGTTCCTTGTAAGGATCGATAAGATACGATAGGGGTTGTGTAATTTACGGGATCATACAAGATGATGCAGCATCTCTGAGCCAACACCCTGCAGACAGGCCTTGGATGCTGCCTTCGTCATACGGAAAACGGAGTTCAAGTTCGTGTTGATGACCTCTGAAAATCTTGTCTACAACACACATTCAAGGGGCTTCGGCTTTGAGGGAGGCTAGAATCTTTACGAAAGTCGCAGCTGAATCTCCGCAATCCCGATTTAGCACTGCTGAAACGGTGCCAAAACAAGAAACTGAGGAAGCCCAGCATTGAGGCTGGTGGTCTGACTGCTACTTTCATGCGCGTGCAACCATCCTGCACGCTGCACAGTTTCACATGGGGAGATGCATTGATGCCATTTAGCTATGTATCTTCGTGCAACATTACTTTGTGAAGCTCCGTAAGCCTCCAGGCAGGTTGCAAAAGAACTGAGGGGAGGACGTCCAACCATGCCTCCTCTTTCATTCCTTCGGTCTTGAACAGGATTAAACTGAAGAGATGAGCCACGGTTCAAGCACAAGGTTTAAGGCAAAGGGCCACTCAAGTTCGACAAAACTTCTGTCGACGTAAAAATGAAATGTCGAGCGCGTTACAACAAGACTGTACAGTGATTGAGCAAGAGCCATATCTCTACGTCATCACTTTGCCGCATTCGACCCCGGGCTCTGCCTTTAAGTGAAAGTTAACATGTAATGTAGGGGCATGAATGAGGCCCATTATAGTATAGTTATACTAACGAGCACCCCAAAGTATTTAAGCCCCTACATCAGGGTGTCGTGCTCGGGTCGCAGCTCCGTTGCAATGGGTCAGGGATCATGGGAGGCATCCTAAAATCGTGAGGGCACGCCTGAATGTGCCGGAGTGGCATCCCCGGTGCCGCAAAACCAGGATACAGGACTGACTATGAAATCCTGAGGTCTTATATGCTCCTAAGTCACACGGTTTGGGCTTTAGGTTCAACCTTCACTCAGCGACAACCTTTAACCTCGAAAGAGCCGCAAATGCCGCAAACACTGTAGCCGGGCATCGCATCATCAAGGTGTCCTGCCGGGCCAGGCGGGTTTGGATGTGCTCGCGGTTTCTGCGGTTTACGATTTTAAGACCTTGAGGTCTTGACGGCGGTCTTGACGGTTATTTGATGCTATTGGGCCTACAAGGATCGGTCGCTTCAGGCGTTTACGGCCCACGGCCCATGCAGGGTTTACGGCTATGGAGCTGTTGGTTTTTGCAAAAACAAGCCCACAAGGTCTGCTAAGTCTGTAGGATACTTAACATCACGGCGTCTCTTCCAATGCAAAGGAAAAACACTTGGACGCAGCTCCAGGGTTGCATTTCCTACAAACTTCGAACACTGGGATTGTTCGGGTTGCGAATCACGGCACATGTTTCCGGAAGGCTTTCACTCACAGTTGCCTGCTGCTGCCTGGCATATGCACTGTCCACACACGACATCGATTGAGCAGACGAGCAGGACTGCGAAGTGGTATGTTTCAAACGGTTGTTTAGCATCCTGCCCTGCCGGCAAATGCGTAGTGAATACCAACTGGACACGATTCAACCTGGACACACAATGCGTCCGAAGACTGACTCGGTACGTCTTCGTAGCAACAGCAACGACAATGGTCGTCGCTGGGTTCATGATGGATCCACCGTACTGGGTACAGCGGCGCAACAACAGTAGAAACAACTGCGAGCACCGGAGAGAATGGTATGGGCATGTAGTCTTCCATTGCTCAGGTGCTTCCTCGAGGAAGCATAAGCAACCGCGGAACCATGAAAAAAGCGTTTTGGCAAGGACAGAACTGCACCGGTCGATCAAAGACTTGTCAAAAGCCGCGAGATTCTGAATGCATAGCTGACCACAATACATCTTTGACAACTAGTGCACAGTATTGCATACTGTTGACTTCGTGAAAGCTCCTTGGTGATGCCGGCGTTGTTCACAAGGATATCGGGAGCCCCGTACTTCTCTGTAACGGCCTGGGCAGCAGCATGCAATACGGTGTGCATTGGGGCATTAAGGTCTGAAGGTCAACAGCTACCTAAGTGGCTACGTAGCTAAAGCAAACAACCTAACTGACTACCGAACTACCTAACTATCGAACTACCTAGATACCTAACAACTAACTAACTGGCTAGCTAGCTAGCTGGCTGGCTGGCTGGCTGGCTAGCTAGCTAACTAACTAACTGGCTGATTTACTTAGTTACCAGCTGCCTCCCTACCTACCTACGTACCTAACTAACTAACTGGCTGACTGAGTGACTGACTGACTAGCTAGCTAGCTAGCTAGCTAGCTAGGTACTAACAAACTAACAAACCAACCACAGTACTTAACTAAATTGATTAACCAGCTGGCCAGCGAACTAACAAACCAACTAAGTAGGTAGATGACACACAGAAAAAAGGCAACATGAATCCCTCATTGATAACATGCACACTACATACACACACTCACTTAGTAGCCGCAATCCGCCGCAATGAGCCCGAGCCACCTTGACGATCTCGGCCACGTTGTCCGAATCCGTGACATCCAGTTTCATTCCCTGTTTAGCGGCTTGGGTGTCGGGGGTTTTGGCTTCAGGGCGGTGCCGTAAACCCCAAATCCAAACCTAAATAAGCTTGAATTACCCTGCACCCTGAAGCCCGAAACCCCAAAACCACAAACCTCGAGCAATCCTGAACTCAGCAGCAAACCATGACCTGTCCAGCTTGAGTGTGAAGTATTGTCCGGACCCTAGATGCCGAACGGAACAAGCACAAACTGACCAAAGCAAACTTGTGGTTACTGTCAGGGCTGCTTTAAGGGTTATGATGCAAAGGTGAGAACAGCAAGCCTGTAAAACAAACCCAAATCGAAAGCTCAAGCACCGAAACCACTAGCATCCACACAGTTCAGGGTTTAGGGCCCTCAAGCTTTCCTAAACTCCTAAAGCCCCAAACCAAAGCTCGCAGTTGCGGGGCTATAACGGCCGGCTTTTTGGGAATTCCTTCAAGGGCTCCCTACGGTTGATGATATAAATCCTGCATCGCCCGTAGTAAGGAATATACCATCGCATCGTTTAGCGTCCTTTTGGTAATGCAGGTTTGTATCATCAACAGCAGTCAAGCCCTACCCCGTCTTTCAAGGCCTGCTTAAGGAAACCAGCATATGTCACTGTAGTGAAGTTGAGGGCACGGGAAAAACCGTAAAGGCTAAAACCCATAAAAGGGTGTAACCTCAACCCCTAGCTCCCAATCTTACCCTCAACCCCTAACTAAAACAGCCTGAAACCGCCCAAAATGAATCAAAACTACACAGAAGAGCCGCAATCCCTGTGGCCTCACCCTGGAGGTCTCCTTCAAAACGCTTCGAGATGGCCTGGTAGAGGGTTTTTTGGGCGTTGGTGTCTGAGTGCGTCTGTTCTTCTGAAGTTTGAGGTCTGGGATTTCGGGATTTGGGCGGGGTTTGTTAGGTTTGCATAAAGGGTTTCGGGCTCAGGACTCTGTGGGTTGATGGTCCAAGACCTAGGACCTTGAAAGTATCTTCTGTTGAGGTGGTCCCTGCGGTGATTGCGGACTTCACCAGTCAACCAAAGATCCGGATCCTTCATGCTTCAGCTTGGGCCCGCCTGAACGGAACCCGGAACTCAGCAAACGAAGATCCTGTCCATGAGGTTTTGAAGATTCCAAAAAGCCTGGACCCTAAGCTGCCCCCATAAAAATGCCCAAAACAGACAGGCCTCTGCACCGGAGTCAGATGTCGCAGTGCCCACGACAACGGCGCCAGCCTGCGGGTGGCGTCAAGAGACTGCAAGAGCCACCAAGACGGTGATGTTCTCACTAAACTTAGGCCCTGAACCCCTTTCCCCAAACCCTGGCGTTGTGCTTCCAACTCGACGCACCATGGCGCCTTGGCCAAGCGCTCGGCGATGGCCGCGCCGATCCCGCGAGAAGCACCGGTGACGATGGCCACCTCTAGGAAGTGGGGACGGGCAGTTTAAGAGGCGGCGTGCAGCGGTATGTGAAGCCATGCGATGAGGCGATCAGTGATGGCGGCGCAGTTTGAAAATGTTGGGGTCCCGGTAGGGACAAGAGCGCCGATGATTTCTGTGAGGGTGCGTGCAGAGAGGACTAGTATTAAAGTGAGCCTTTCTATGAGTAAATCTCGTGATGCCATTCGGGTTCATCTGGAGTGGTGAGTCTAGGTTGGTGCGGCACTGTGGAAAGAATGCGACTCTAGTCAACAATGTGCACAATAACGAGGCAACACTGTTCGGAAGAGTGAAAGCTCAGGAAACCTACACCATTTGCCGACTGCTAACCAGCCTGATGTGAACCTAGACTCCCACGTGCCGATGTGCTTTACACGTTCACTGTTAGCTAGGCCCGGCTCTGGCCTGCTGTGAGTTGTGCATGCGTGTTCTTGGGGTGGGCATGTCTTTATGCTACTGCACGCGGACCAATTCGCAACCTGCCGAGCACACCTGCACCCCAAACCCTGAACCCCAAACCTAAATCCTACACCTCAAACCCGAAACTCCTATCCCTCCAGGTCTTTGAGAACCCCTAATCCCCAAACCCTTAAACCCTAAAACCTCAAACCCTAAACCCTTAAACCCTAAACCCGAAACCCTGCAGGCACCCATGCACCTTGCCAGTGAGATCGAAGCCAGTCTCAGCTCCAGCCTCGAGTTAGGATTTTTTGAGGGGGTTTAGGGTTTAGGGTTAGGTTTAGGGTTTAGGGTTTAGGGTTTAGGGTTTAGGGTTTAGGGTTTAGGGTTTAGGGTTTAGGGTATTGGGGTTTAGGGGTTTTAAGGGTTTAGGGGTTTTAGGGGTCGAATTTGGAACTTCCGGGGGGTTGGGAGGAGCTTATAGTTAAGAAGGGTTTCGAGGTTTCAGGTGTAGGGGGCTTAGGGCTTCGGGGTCTTAGGATGTAGGGTCGTTTAGGGTTTAGGGTTGGATAAAGCGTCCTGCTCTGTAAGGGTATACGGTTGCACTGGATCTACGATGTCGCAGGCATCGAATGCAGGACACATCTCAGACCTGGAGGCATTTTGCCGGGGTTTTGGAGGGAGCGTGGCCCCTAAACCCTAAACCCTAAACCCCCCAAACCTCGACTCTTCGTGTACTCGCGACAGTATGTAGTGGGATGGTCCGAAGACAGCGGTCCCCATTTGCAACGATGAGCCGAGAAAGAGGCCTGTGGGCTCCGCAAGCTGAAGACGCTTCGGTCTTAGTTATCAGCCCAAGCATGCAAAAAGATGTAAACCCTAAACCCTAAACCCTAAACCCTAAATGGAACCCCGAAGTCAAAGCTACCCTCTCCGCAAGAGGAGCCACATATCCCAACGGAATAGGGTCCAAAGCTTCCCAAATAACCCCTTCTCAAAATTAAAGCCACGATACAAGCCATTTGTTAACACACAGCGACCCTCTTTCGAAGCCGTATACCTTCTAGAACCCTGTAGCATTAAAGCTCAAAGACCCCGTAAAGCTAAAGCCCCAAAGAGGTTGTATGAAGCCTCCACCCTAAACCCTAAACCCTCAACCCTAAACCCTAAAATGAAGCCTCAACAAGCAGCAGCCGAGCCTTCATAGCCACCGTGGCGGCGCGCGCCGCCCTCGTGTCGGCCGGCCGCGCCGCCGTCCGCCTCATGAAGTAAGTCTGGGTCTTTCGCGGTCTAGTTTAGGGTTTAGGGTTTAGGGTTTAGGGTTTAGGGTTTAGGGTAGGGTTTCGTGCTTCGTGGCAGGGTCTCGGGTTTCAGGCTTAAGCTGTTTAAGTGCCAAGCTCCTCGTAGACTTGACGACTGTAGGCCGAGATTTTATACATGTGAAAAAACCGGCTTCATGACAATAAGCCTGACCAAAACACGAGAAGCCCCAGTGATCTTCGTACATGTCCCGTCGAAGGTTTGTCATACCCTACTGATGTGACAGCTGCTCGGCTCGGCTGTAGTCGATGACTCATTCTGCCCGAAACTCCAATTGGGTAGTTTTCTAAATTAGGGTCCCTTTTGGGGTCCTCTTTATAAGGGTGCCGTACTATATTGGGGACCGAAACTACCCAAATCCTAAACCTCTCGGTGCACCACAAGAGGAGACGAAAGTACCGATGCAAATTGAGTCTTTGATCCAAAGTCAGACTATTTATTGCCATACTAAGCCCTTAATATGGCTATATTCAACCCTTATCGCGGCCTTTTTTAGTGGAGACTTTGAACAGAGTTCTACTGAACCCAGTTCCTGACAGCTCCCGCACCCAAGCACCCAAAAGGAGGCTCCAAAGCAAAGCGTACAAGTCCCTTTCGTCCCAAGCCTTCTCCCAACAGGGATTGCTCTAGAGCTGAAATCAAAGCCTGTTTAGGGGTTTAGGAGTTAGGGTTTAGGGGTTTGGGGTTTAGGACTTCATGGGCTTGAGGGTTTAAAGCTCAAGTGGAGTTTCAAGAGATAATAAAAGGCTTTGCGAGCTACCGGCACACCAACCAGAAGCCCAGAAGAACTACCAGTTATGACCATCTTCCCACAACAGTCAGATAAGTTCCTTCAAGCCCTCAGCCCCGAATTCTACAGCCCTCACACAGTCCAGATACGAGCGTTTTATGTAGGGCGCATAGGGCACAATGACAACGACACCCACTGGGCTTGCAGGGAGGCTGAACTGTTGGCTTCAGGCTTCAGATCCATGTGCCTCTTCACCGCAACGCCGGCCGCCAAAGCTGTGGCAGCGACGGCAAGGGCGGATGGTGCGCCTTTATGAAAAATGGTGGTGTAGCAGAGACTTCAATCATAATGTTCATTGAAAACAATAGACAATCAGAAGGGCAAACATTAATTCCACGATTGCCTGCATGCCTGTATGCGCATGACACAACACATCACGAAGCATATCGAATAACAACGGAACGACGGGCCAGCTACAATGGTCAAACCTGATAATCACAATGATGGCATCCTGCCGCACAACAGATAGCGACAAGGAGACTAATTAAGTGATTCGAACGGTGCTCTTGACTAGCCTCGGCGCAGTGCCTTTTTTCCACTGAAGCAGGCATGCGAAGCAAGCATGAATGACCAAAGTCGCGACGTGTTGGCCGTAAATAGCGATACAGAGAAGCATTGCATGCCCGTCTGCTCAACAAAAACATCGAAAACACATGGCGCTACTGGCTGTGGCAGAGAAGAGCTGTGGGCGTGGGTGTGTGTGTGTGTGACAGACACGCGCACACACACAGAAATGCCAATATATATATATATATATATATGTATATATATATATATACATATATATATATATGTTATATCGTATACACATACGTACATACAGACGCAGACACACTGACAATAAAGGCACCAAGAAGAGTTGGTCAGCACGCTGACCTCGATCTGGAGCCTCGCGCATAGTCGGCACAGGCTTTGTTGTCAGCCTGCACTCTGCAACAGGCAGTGTGGGTCTCTTGAGCGGATGAAGTTTGAAGCCTCGGTGTCTGCAAAATCCTACGGCAAAGACAGAAACGCTAAACCCGAAAGTCCCAAGCCTGAACTTCTTGCGAAGCTCAACACACCTAAACACCCCACAGCCGAAAGCCTAATCCGGAGCCAAGGCATCAGCCCTAAACCCTAAACCCAATCTTCACGCGTTTAGAGGATATGGGGAAGTCCTATGATTATGGCAGACTGCCCATTGCTCAGGTAGGGGAAACTTCTTGGAACAACACTGGGAATCGCCAGCGAAGTTTCTGTAAAACCCTCTCGCAAACAACGATATTATCTCTGTAGGCCAACAGACCCTAAATCCTAAACCAAAACCCTAAACCCTAAACCCTAAACCAAACTAGAAGCTCGAACAACAACACAAAAAGCGCAAAAGGCCGACAGGAGTTCCTCCAACCGGGGTCTAAAACCCTAAAACCCTTGGCCCTTTTCGTGCCAAACTCACAGGATCCAAACCGTAAATCCTGAAACTCCCAAGCCCTTAACCCCTAAACCCGATTAGGGTTTAGGGGTTTGGGGCTGGGGGGTTTTAGGATTACTGGGCCCTAAACCCTAAACCAACAACTAACAATGACTCTCCAGAATGCCAAAGCCACCAGAGTATGTTCGACCTCGCCTTGCCACCGGTGCCGCTGACTGCACCGGCCCGAGTGTGAAGGCCTCTTACCAATAGAAGGGTTTAGGGTTTAAGGTATCAGGTTCAGGAGTTTGCATCCTACCGTCTAGTGGGAGATGTCTGAGTCTTGCACGCACGTACGTATGTCTGAAGTATACATACATATGTACGTATGTACATATATATATATATTATTTATGTATGTATGTATGTATGTATGTATGTATGTATGTATGTATGTAGGTATGCATGTATGGAAGTATGTAAGTATGTATGTGCGTATGTGGTGTACGTATGTTATGTATGCATGCATGCATACATGCATGGATGTATGTATGTATGTGTGTATACATACATACACTTGTATACACCTGTATACACATGCACGTATGCATTGCATACGTACACTACATATGTGCATACATACATACATACATACGTACGTACGTACATACATACATATATATATATATATACATACATACATTACGAAAAAAACAAACAAACATACATACCAATACATTACATTACATTACATTACATTACATTTCATTACATTACATTACATTACATTACATTACATTACATTACACTGCATTGCATT